TTGACAACAGCAAGTGCACCCTTTTTAAATGAGCCTTCATCAGACCAAAATGCCCATAGAGCAGCCTCTAGAGCATTAACTATATAACTTTTCCCTCGAATACCAGCATTGTATCCATCTATTTTGTATGATCCTTCAGCAATTGACTGAATACCAGGGTGAAGTGGGATGTTACGAAACCATTCTGCGTGTTTCGAGTAAAATTCATGATCGAGTAATTGTTCTTTGGTATAACCATGAAGAGCAGCCACAATTAAAGCACCATAGTAACGACATGCATCGTATGCTTTTCTATCTCCATGAGTGATTTGTCCACTGACACCGGAATATTCCACAGCTATTGCAGGAAATCTATGAAAAAATAATGGTACCGGTGCAAGACGTGTAAGAGCACCATTGCCTGCAACACCATCTTCACTGCAATAGATATCAAATATCTCTAGTAGTGTCCTATCAGAAAGATTATCCATATCTGCAAATAAAATGTTGAATTCCTTGGCATATCGTTTTTGACGACGCTCAAATTCTCGTAGAGATTGGCAAGTACCTGCTCCAATATCAAAACAATTTCCAGTCGACGACATATATCCGAATCTGTACCACCATTTGTAGCGAACTAATTGATCGTAAGGATTAAAACCGTGACAAGCTACTAGTGAATTAGCCAAACAAAGTGCCATGGAAGTATCATTGGTAAACTAAAACAAATTTCTATTTGATATCGTAGAATATCAAATTGACCACAAGCCGATGGTTCTTCAAGAATGTTTTAGTTGCTGATTCCCTTATTACGAAACACTACATGATTGTAGCAAAATGATATTTTATATTAAAACGTTTTCCATGATGCTGATTCTATAGAATAAATAATTACCTTTATATCCTTCTCAAAAAGAAAGCTTCAATGAAAAGACTATAGAATGATAAAAAAAACAAGTTGTTTAAGTGATTATTCATTTCGCATAAGTGTATTTTTGTTTTGAGAAAGTGTAAAGAAGTGCTCGTTTAAGAATTCTTTAAATAATATCTATTTTGAGACAAATCAGATTTTTTCTTTCAAAAAGCAATAGATCCTGTTTTATAAGTTCTGTCCTTCTCTCGAAAGGGTATCCTTCCTAATTTTGCATTTAGCCAACATACTTTGGATGATGTGAACCGAATCAATCTTACGAAAACCTTTTTATTTAGGTTATACTTCTGTTAAACTAGTCATGTATTATGGCTCGTCGAGTTCTAAACAAAGAAAGAAACAAAGACGTACTTGTCCTTTGGTTAGACCCAATGTTCCTCCAGATTCAAGATCAGTTACTGGGTGGTCTACTAAGTATTGACGCGGTCGAAATTCAACATAAGCGCCAAGCGCATCACCTAAACCCAGTCCTGCCATAGATCCTTGGATACGATTCAAAATTTCTTCATTAATTAATGCATCAGGTTCATTCATTTCATTCTCAAATTCATCAGGCTTTTTCACTATTGTTTTTTCTTTGTCATGAAATTGAATAT